CCCTGCCTCGGCGCCTCGTGCCTTGTCGCTGCTCCTCTCCTTCCGCCGCAGCTTCTTGTGGCTCGGCGTGACAAGTCCCGCATCCATGACCCGGCGGTGCGCATCCAGTCCGATGTCTACGCCTTCGGAGTCATTGTGACCGAGATGTTTACCGGGGCCCGGCCCTGGCGGGGCCTGTCGGCGGACGAGATCGGCGCCCGGGTCATCCGCGGCGACCAGCCGGCCTTCGTCCCGGTGGCCCCCTGGCTGGTCCCCCGTGCGCCCTTCCTGGCAACCAAGGCATACATCGTCGCGCAGTTTGACGCTCTGGCAACCGCCTGCATGACCCAGGACCCGGACGACCGGCCGTACATCGGCCCGGAGCTGGTCCAGCAACTGACCACCGACGCCAACAGGTGCTGGGTGCTGAGATGACCACGCACCGGCGGGCTATGGCGAAAATGTCATTCCCCCGATGGTGGGGCTTTTCCCCTCCGCCCACCGGTGGTATAAAAGCCGCTGCCGGGTGGGTGTCTGAGCTCCGGCTCGGCTCTTCCACGGGCCTCGCCCCGCACCGGTGCGTACTTCTCTGAATTTGTCCCCTTCCTCCATGCGGTCCTGCCTGCCCCGGGCCCCCGCCTCCCCTCCCGCCTTCCCCTCCCCCCCTCCCCCCCCCCCCATGATGATTACACATCCATGCACCACGCATATCGACCACTTGGGGCAGCTGGTGGCTTGTTTAGAATGAGCCTCCGGTGGTACCCCTCTTGGTATTGATGATTATGGTTTTGTATGAATCCCCCCTCCTGCTCTCCTGCAGCCTCCTCCCCTTCCTCGCTCTTTCGCTGTCACGTTCTCCCTTTTAACACCCTCTTGCTCGGCCTCTCCACTTTCTTCAGACCAAACTCCGGGATTCGCTTCTCATGAAGGCTTCTCTGGATGTTCCCTCGCTGGGTGTCTGTGGATGCATCTTTTCGCCTCTTTGTGTTCACCTCTTGCCAGGGGGGGGGCGTCCCCAGTCTGGGGTTCTCCCCCTCGAGGGGAGGTGACACACATATGACGGGACATCGGTGCATGCACGGTCATCCGGCGCTCTTTCTTTTTGGGGTGGTCAGAGGCCAATGTTGTCGTGTGTGCGTGTGTGTGTGTGGCTACCCACCACACCGCCCTCGACAACATCGACCTCTCTCCCCTCCTCCTCTTCACATACAACATATACATACACATCATATCAGCGTGTTCTCGGCCCCCCGTTAGCGGCCGTAACCCCAATATACATACTTCGACAAGAGAGCGTGCCTCCCTTTTTCGGCCTTGATTGGTTCACTGGGGGGGAGTGGGGGGGGGCGGCGCGGCGCGACCGACGCTCTCCGGGGGTTGGCCAGTGACCGGGGGACCCCCGGGGCCCGGCGGCCGCAGCGCGCTCCGCTGTGTACGGTTCGCCGGCGCCGGCGCATGGGCTCGCATCCGCGGACGGGCGGGGGTTGAAATTTCCCGGGCCGCCACCACAATCCCCGCTTCTCATGTCCTTGCCCTGAACCTCGCCCGGCTGGGGATGTGATTTTTGTACCCGCGTGTGCAGGTGTATCCCCCGTGCGAGTCTGGGGGGAGCCCTGCATTTTACCCCTGGCAAGCCGAGAAGGGTCCACAAATAGGGCCTTTCTCTCTCTCTCTCTCTCAGGTGCCAGGGTGGCCATGGGGTCCTGATGGTGTGGGCCCAGGTCGCCACACACAGGGAGATATCCACACCTGGCAAGCGCCCTGGGCTTTGATGATATTCCCCCCAGTTCCTCCCCCCCCCCCCCCCCGGCCGCATCCTCTCAAACATGGGCACATGTACGCGCGTGGGCTGCGCACCCGCACGGCCAAGGCAGCCAGGGGAAGACCTGCCCCAGCCGGAGGGGCAATCCCAAGTACAAGGAAAGACGGAGAGGGGAAAAGAAAAACAAGGACATGGATGTGCTATTGGAGAAGAAGGAGAAAGGGAAGGCCCCGCCCCCCGCCCCCCCCCCGGTGTTCATCACCGCTGGTGCACCAAGTTGTGAATGAGCCAATTGAGCTGGGTCGACCAGCCAAGACGAAGGGACTCGCTGATGAGAGAGCGGAATTCGGCGGCCGCCTCCTCCGGGGACAAGTCCAGGCAAAGGGCATCACGCAGATACCCAATGTCATCGGCATGCTTGAGCTCCGGGATGCCGGTAGACAGCATCATGGCAAAAAGATTCAAGAAGAGCCGGGCATCACGACGGACAATCAGGTAGGCCTGGACACAGAGATCCTGGAAGCGCTCGAACTCATTCGGACACTTGGTCTCCATCAGATAGACAAAGTCCGGCGTCAGGACGAAGGGAGCCCGCTCGCGCTTCCAGCCGAACTTGCGCTTGATGTTGCCCAGGAAGTGGCCATAATCAATGTGGAACAGCTGCCCGGACGTGGTGACCATGATGTTGTCATTGTGACGGTCGCCGATGCCCAGGATGTAGGTGGCCACACAGTAGCCGGCACAGGAAAGGGTGAAGTTGTCCACCGCCTTCATGTAGTCCTCCTCATTCTTGTGCAGCCCCCGGAGCCAGTCGGCGATCGGCGTCTCCCGGAAGGCGGCCGTCGAGCCGCCATACATGAACTGAATGTCGGACACGGTTTCGGCATTGAGGACCACTTCGATCATGCCGACCTGATCGCCGAGAGAAATGCACCCGTATGGCAGCATGCGCAGGTCCAGCCCATGGCGCTTCCACATCTTGTCCATCAGGCCAATCATCTGCAGGGTGAGCATATCCTGGCGCAAATCGTCGCCGGACTTGAAGATGACATGGTGCGGCGGCCCATGCGGAGCATCGGCATTCTCGAATACCAGCCACAGGGGAAGCTTCTTGGAGCCCATGAACTTGCACCGGTCGACCAGCACGCCGGATGCTTCCCAACGGGGGTTCAGCGACAGCTCGAAGGGGGCCTCCATGCCGGCGCCCATCACACCCGGCGCCAAGTCCGCCAAGTGCCGATGGAGGATGGCCCGACGCTCGGAATTCTTGGCCGGCTTGATGGCCAGCGCCGCGCGCGCCAAATGCCCGATGACATTGCTCTGCCGCTCCAGGTGCCGCAAATAGGACCCGGCCCCGCGCAAGTAGGTCTCCAGATACAGGGCAAAGCGAACCTGGATCTCGGGCCAGTGCATCTCGGCCCGCAGGTGCCAGAAGAAATGGTGGCCCACTCGGCGACTGGCCAAAGCCCGGCGAAGGAGGAACCGCGCCAGGGCCGAATCATGGTAAGGCTCATACTTCAAAACTTGGATCAGCTGCACCAGGAAGTCCACCAGAACCGCATTGTCCAAATGCGCCAGATGCGCCACGGCAAAGGCCCGCACATGGGCATCAGCAAAGTTGGCATCCAACAGCTCGAGCGCCGCCTCCGGCTCCAGGCGCGGCCAATTGGCCACCAGTTCCCGGGCCTCGGCGACATCGGCCTGCCGGTCCCAGGGAGCCGACAGGAGAAGCTTCGGCAGGGCGTCCGGGTAGCGTTGACGCAGGAACCGCCGGTGCCGCCACACCAGGCGCTTGGTTCCGGGATCCAACTTGCTCAGGGGGTCCATCTGGCGGACGCGCTCGAGGATGGCCAGCTCGGCCGGAGCCGGCTGCTCAATGGCCTCCGGCACCGGGGCCGGCTTCGGCCCGTCCCCCATCGCCAGGGTGGCGGCTTCCGTGCCCTCGGGAGAAATGTCGCCGGTCTTCGGGGCCAAATCCAATCCCGGCAACTCGTCCGGATGCATGACCGGCACCGAATACTCATCCAGCTGGAGGTAGAGGGTGAAGCGCTTGGCCGCATCCGGGCAGGGGTTCGGCACGCAGCAGCCAATGGGATTGGCCGCCTCCGAGGGCCACAGATGCAATCCACCGATGACCCCCTGGGCCAGCTGCCCGGCCGAGTCCATCAGTAGGAAATTCACCCAGCCCAGGGGAATGGCCGTGCCCGACCCGGTGCCCGACCCGGCCCGGCCGTAGACCGTCAGGCAGAGGCGTGTCGCACGCGGGAGGTCCTGCAAACGCACGCCGAAGGTCAGCCAGGAGTCCCACCGGATGTGGCCGAGCCCGGGCCCGCCCGGGCCGCTGAGCTGAGAGCCAACCGCGGCGAAGGTCGTCCGGCGCACGGACCGCCGAGTGGCCGCCTCGCGCACGGCAAGCTCATCATCCCCGGCGGCCGAGGTGATGCCCAGCAGCTCGCCCCCATGGTAGAGGGCCGCCTCGACATACACCTGCTCCAGGGCGGGGAGCGACTTGTCGGCGGCCGCGGCGGCCGCCGCACCGGCCGCAAGGGCGGCACTCAAGTTGTCCAGGCCAAGGACGCGCACACGCAGCGGCTGATGGAGATCCCACAGGGAGAGGGTCCGAATGTCTTCCGGAGCCCGGTCCAGCGAGGAAAGCTGCTGATGGGTGCCCGCCCGGCCGACCGTGTCCTCGATGAGGTCCCAGTTCTCGGTCCACTGGCTGTCCTGGGTCAGGAGATCGCCCTTTGGCAGGAGCCGGACGACGATGGACTCGCGCCGGCTCACGGCCCGACGGATGGCCTCGAACGACAGCAAGGGATGCGGTCCACCCAGGTAGTCCGCCGAGCCGGCCAGCTTCAGGACATAATCGTCGCAGGTGCTGTCCTCCGGGAGGCTGAGCTTGCGCCAGAACTTCAGCACATTGTTGGTGATCAGCTGGTCCACGGTCTCGTCTACTTGGGCCAAGACGGCCCGGTTGACCGAGCCGACCATGACATTCAGCCGGATGACCGCCCGCCGGGGAGCGGTGTCCGTGGCATCAGTCACGGCCAGTGCCGGGCTGGACCCCTGGGCAATGTGCGGCTCCAGGTCAAAGGGCAATGTGTCGAGGAAGGGCTCGGTCATGTAATCGGCCGGATGAATGCGCGGGCTGGCATGGGTGGCCGAGGAGGAGCCATCGGCTCCCTCGTGGAGATGCCGGCCGGCACGCTGGGCCAGCGCACGCCACCGGAGGCCCACCATCCGTCGGCGGAAGGTGAGCACCTCGCGATCGGTGGTTTGCACAAACCGATACAGGCCAAAGTCGATCAGATGGCTGATGCGCTTGTTGAGCAGGAGCTCGCTGTGGCGGAGCTCACGGGCAGCCAGGCGCTGGGCCTCGGTCTGCCCGCGCACCCGGCGCCCGGTGGAGGTCATCCAAGTGGAGATCTGCGCCGAGGCCTGGCTCACATAGAAGGTGGGTGTGGCACCGGTGCGCAGCCAGAAGGGCAGGACCGAAATATTATGGCTATCGGGAGTCCGAAGAGGGCGAGTGGGGAGGGGGGGGGGGGGGGGGGGCGCAGCCAGGGAGCGAGGGAA